GGGGGGGGGGGGAATGATTGGCTCTATGCACATGAGGGGACTGATCACTTATCACATTTGTAACCTGTTGAATTTCTAGGGTTTGATAAAGCCATTATTGTAGGTTTTGGCTGTCACAGGTACATGTTTAAATCAGTAGACCCCCATTCAGAATATGTCTGTAGGGCAGGTTTTCATTCTGGTTTACATAGGAAGGTCATACAGGTCAATGCAGTGCTCACACAATACTGGATTAACATTACCTCAGTACTCATGGGAACAACACCACTAGGTCCCTAATTAAACCCAAGACAATGAGATTGTTTTGATCCAGTGTTAGTGTTATTTTTCTAGATTACTGCTGTTTTATTAACCCAGTCTATAATGTGGTTAGTTCGACCCAATATTAGACAAGCAAGTTTTACCTTAAAACTGTCACAAATGTATTGTTAGTATTACTAAAACCAGTGCACATGACATTTAAAACTGCAAAGGACACAACATTCCTGTAAATAGTGACATGTGAGATTAAAAGGAGTAGCATTTTAATTTGGCTAAATGACCCAACATTAATAAAGAAAGCAACAATAACACTGGGTTCAAACAAACCACTGTCTTGATTTTGAAAGGTGACCCAGTGGTTTTCTACCCATGGGAATTAAATTTAGCGCAGTATGTCATCTGTGCTATATTGACTCAGTGATTTTGGTGTGTATTCAAATCTATTTCTCATCAGGATGATATTCCTTGTAGGTTTCAACCGAATCGTGTTTCAAAAGTATCAAATATTTATATTCTATACTCACTTGAGGAATTACAAAGGGCATTGTAGTCTACAAACTCTGGGGGCCTCCCTCAGCTGGAGGCCCTGGGTAATCAGTGCCGCTATTCACCCCAAAACAACACCCAGAATAATATGTGTTGTCTAGTCTATTGTGTGTCTGGCTCTGTCCTCTTTGACTGATTCTGAAACCCCTGCAGGTCCTGCATCATGTCTCCTGTTCGGACTGTAACTGAGTTTGCTTTCTTATATATATATCTGTGCTGAATAAAATGCCTTGCACAAATACTGAAAAATTCTGATTATGTTTCTAGTTATGTCTGTCTTCAATTATAACCAGGTCATTTTAACCTTTATTTTTAGTTTTTTAAGTCTGTGCTT